CAAGGACAGCGAGCCCCCATTTGCCTTGCTGAGCAGTCGCTGCCGCATTACCGAGGCCAGAAATAACTTTATCTCCAGGCGCAGGAGTAAACAGGCCAGCAGTCAGAAGGGAGAAGGTTTACTCTGGCAAGCCATAGGAAAACGGCCTCGGCAAAACAGCTGGGGCGAAGGGCTGGGCCCAGGAAGGGCCATGGCCACCTGCTTTCCTGGAACTCAACCTAGGGCAGGGGGTGGGAAGCGGCTGTATCTCATCCTCCAGTGGGGAAGGAGTGGGACGAGTCCTGCCGAGTCATCCTGACTGCCCTCCTCTCCTTGGGAGCAGCTGAACAGGTCCTCTGGACCATGCTTGGGCACGGCAGTGCAGGGAAGTCCGAGGCACGGGGTGGTAGTAGCTGCTTTTTGTGAGCATCAGTGTGTTGACTCCAAAAAGTGCTCGCTGGAGCAGATAAACGATGGGAAAGGCTGTATGTTATTTCCTGCCTACGCGATAAAATCTAGCCACTACAGGCGTGCCCTGAGAGGCAAAGCTTAAAAGCTGTTTCCATGGGGTGAGGATACGGCTTTTCTGAGGTTTGCAGAGCTCTTGGTGTAGCAGCAGCAGGGTCCCTGGGGGTTCACCCCTCAGGAAGGCAATCCTCCATCCTGCCCTGCTCCTGCCGCCTTCGCCTCCGTGCCTTTCAGCTGCTCCGGCAGCCTGGCTGGCACCTGCAGAGTAACTTCATGGAGGTGCAGAAGTGCAGCGAGACGAGAGGAACAAACCAGGAGCGGTCCCCTTCGTCCCAGGGCATCCAGCAGTGGGGAGGCAGAGGCGGCGGCTTGCTGGGAGAACAGCTGTAACCACGGGCATGGTCACAGGCTGCCCTCAGCAGTGCAGGCAAAACTTTCTCTGTCCCCAGAATGCAGGCTTGGGGCGGGGTGCCTACAGCCATGGGAAGGGAGGAGCAGGGCAGGGGATGGGGAGCACTGCCCGTGCCTGGCTGCAGCCCCGTGCCCTCCACATCTCCACTCCCCAGACCTGCCGGAGGCACGCACGCAGCAGCACGGCTCCTCTCTTGTGCCTGCCTCGTGTGTGCTTAAGGTGTTCACTTGACCCACGATTCCACTCGCAATAGAGGTGCTTCCACACAGCTCTGCCCAAGCATCACGCGTCGGGACATACCCCCCGGTTGCCGGCTCCGGCACACGGCAGCCATGCTGCTGCCAGCGCGTCCCGGGCAGTGCGAGAGCAGAGGGCTGGGAGAGGTCCTGTGGGTAGCAAACACGTAACCTCAGTGATGGGCTTTCAGGCAACCAATTCAAGGCTCTTCACCAACAGCAAAAGAAGAGCCTTGATCTAATTTTTTTTACTGAGCACTGCATTCTTGTGCCCAGGGGGGTATCTGAAAATGTTTAGCTTAATGAGGGGCTCATCCAGCCCTTCCCCAGCCAACTTCATGCTTTTAAAAATCATCAGTCGTGAGAACGGCTTGGAAAAAAAATAATCTGATGCACATTGTTTACTCATGCATTACCACACAGTTTCTCCTTCAGCTGCTACGTGTGCTTGCGCTGAAAGGAGCTGTGATCTGCTGCTCACCGCTGGTTCGGGAATACGGTTGTCAAACCACGTGCCATTTAGGCGTGCAGATGTGGCAGTATGCCTTGAGGGCAGGGGTGAGTTGTCTTCTGGTTTGGGTTTTTTTTAATCTTTGCAGGTGACCACAATCACCTGCGGGTGGCAGAGTATTTATCTAGTGCCCCCCAAGAGTGGGCAAAGCCCAGGACCTGCTGCATCAGAGGCTGCAATAAATGTGATCCTCAAATAACTACATGTTTCCAGGGTAGCAGGGCTTTAGAGGGAACAGCAAATATTGTGAGCCTGGCAACCAAATTGCAAGAGTTGATTTCCCTGTATTCTTATAACTCTGATTTATTTGGATTCATTAATTCATTATTTAGAAGTTTTCTGCTTAGTGAAGCAGGGAGAAATGACATTTTGCAGAATAAAAAAAAAATTACAGCAGAGGTGCGTTGAGTCATTTCTGTTTGAGATGAGAATTGCAGGTTGTTGCTTAAAAAGTGACCTTTTGATTTTTACCATCACCCAGAGGAGGCTGGGCAGGATTTGGGAGGGGGTGAGAGCCCCGGCTGCACTCCCTGCCAGCAGCTCACCTGGCCTTGGTGGCCGTGTCCCAACATGCTGAAACAAGAACTGGCTTAAAACCCAGGATTTTCAGTACACAGAACGTATCATCCATGACAGTCGAGGAACACTGTGGTTTTAAAGCCTACATGAGCCTTGTGTCACCGCCTTTTTGGCATGGCCATTGCAAAAGTGAAAAAAGCCAACAAAAGCCGCAGGCGATTTGCTGCCTGCCTCACCGTGTCCCCTGTATCAAAGTGAATTAATGATTCGCATTTGGGCAGAGCACCAGATGATGACAGTAAATAATTTTCTTTGTAAGCAACGTTTTACTGTGTGAGCAGTGAGTTTTTGGTTTTGTTTTTTTTTTTTTCTTTCCCCCCCCCAAGAGGTGATTGAAAAGCATCCTTGACTTTAATTTTATTTTCAGCAGTTGCAAGGGCTGGGGGAGCGGGCGAGCGGCTGCCTTGGCCCTGCTGCCTTCCCTGCTGCCTGTGGGGAGGCTTTCCCCCGGGCAGGAGAGGGGATCTCCCTCTGCCATCCAGCCTTTTGCCCCTGCACCCCTAAATCTGCCCCGGTATCGCGCTGGCCTGGGTCGGGGGGACGGTCAACTGGTGATGATGGTGGCACGATGCTGGGGAAATCCTGGCCCTGGGGAGCGGAGGAGGTGTGGGGCTGGTGGGAGGAGGGATGAGTTGCAGGAGGAGAATTAGGGCTTTGGTTTTGGGGTTGCTGAGAAGAGGCATGGCCTGGCCTCTGCCTGGGGCTGCAGACCCAGTGCCGGGGCGTGCTCTCCCGCGCATCGCAGAGCACCGCTGCGGCCAGGGTTGGTCTGTCCGGGCCTCTGCCTGGGGCTGCAGCCCCAGTGCCGTGCCGTGCTCTCCCGCGCATCGCAGAGCACCGCTGCGGCCAGGGTTGGTCCCATCGGCAGAGCGGATGGAGCTCATGGCTGGGTAAAAGCAAAAGGGCAGAATTTAATACGGGATGTAATACACTGCAGTAATGTTTTCAGTGCTTTGATTCACCTTTTTCTTTGTTATTTTCTTATTCTAAGCAGCCTGAATTGGGGTGCCTCCAAGCTGCCCTGTCCTGGGTCAGACCTCTCTGGCAGCAGCCGAGCTGGCCGTGAGCAGCAGGGCTCACCCCGCACAGACAGGCCCAGACAAGCTCCTCGATGAGCATATCTTTATTTTCAGTTCTAGGAATACACATCTAAACAGTCCAGATCTCGCCTGGACATGTCACCTAAACCGCCGCTCCTTTCCAGTTGCCCTTCTCACCCCGCCGCAGGACGCACGTTCCCTCTGCACGCTTGTGCGAGGCCGTTAGAGGGCATTTGGGTTTCATTTTTCAATCACCCAGAAGGATTATCGCTGCGAGAAAGTAAAGGCAGAGCTGCCGAGCAGCTCTCCTGCGCCGACTCTTGCATAGCTGGAGCCGCTCCAGCCCGTCGGGGG